TGACCCTGTGTTCTAGTTTGTTTTTCATTGCTGCGACAAAATACTTTGACCAATACCAACTTGGTGAGGAAAGGGTTTACTTGTCTTACATCTCCCATGTCGCAGTTCATCAGGGAGCCCAAGGTAGGAACTCAGGGCAGGATCCTAGAAGCAGGAGCTGGAGCACAGGCCATGGACGAATGCTGCTTACTGGCTTGCTCCCCTGGCCCCTGCTCAGCTTGCTCTCTTATCCAACACAGGCCCACCTGCCCAGGGGTGGCACTACCCACAGTGGGCAGGGCCCTCCCACATCACTCAACAATCAAGAAGACGCACCACAGACATGGCCACAGGCCAGTCCAGTGGAGTCAATTCCCCAATTGAGGCTCCCTCAACCCAGATGTGTCAAGTTGACAATAAAGCTATCCAGCACACCCTGTTATACCAATCCTTGGCATATACCCAAAACAATCATCCTACTTGTACATTCATGTTTGTTGCTGCTCTCTTCACAGTAACTAAGAAATGGCATCAACCTAAGTGCCCCTCAACTGATGAATAGATAATGAAAATGTGGTAGAATTACACAAACAAGTTCTACTCAACAGTAAAGGAAGACAAAATCATGAAATTTCTAGGGGAACAGATGGAGCTAGAAACTGAATGCGTTAACATAGACTCAAAAGAAACAAATGATGTGTGTTCTCCTTCATGTGTGGATCCTATCACCAAACCCTTATATGTGAATATATATCGTGATGTAACTATAAGAGCCAGGGAAGTGGAAAGGAACTAGGGAGATAAAATGAAAGAGCCCGATAGAGTATAACAGTAAAAGACATGTGTTAACAGGTGGAAAATGGGTAAAATGAGGGTTTATAAACAGGAGGGGAGAGGTGAGGTTACACAAAGAACTATGGGTATAAAGGGGAAGAAAGAACACAAGAGAGGAAAGGCCATAGGAGACAAGTGTTATCAAAGGGGAAATGGAAAAAAATTGGTATTGGTGTACTTTAAATTGGAAGGAGGGAGGGTTATCTAGTGAGAAAGAGAGATAATGCCCAGTTTGTGTAAAAAAACAGAGGGAAACTTATCGACACAATATAGAAAAAATTAAACATACAATATCTCCACATTACTCCATGTGTATAGCTGAAGGCTACATAACAATAGGCAGTGCCTGACAGGAGATACCTCCATTCAAGTTGTTGGCCAGGGTAGTCCAAGAGACTCCCCAAATTATCCAGACTATTACCACAGCCATATTGCCTCCAAGAGCTTGAAGGTAAGACCCTACTGCTGAATACAGGCTTATGTAAGACAAAGGACTTACAGCAATGGAACTGGAACTGACCTGGAAGCCACCCCCCTGAAGTCTAGGTCACATTATTTTGGAGAACACTATGCAGTCTGCTAAGGGAGAACATCAATTAATGGCTCAACCCCAGCTCTAAGGACTAATAACCACAACAATGGCCAGCACAGCAAACTATATTGGGTCAATAGTCACACCTTTATTTTAGGGGTAATCAACAGCTTCCCAATTGAACTTTAAGCCCACCCAATCAAAGGGAACTCATGTGTGGTACTGTAGACATAATCAAATACACATGACTGGAGAGGTCATAAATCTTAGAGACTATCCCAAGCCTGTCATATCCCTAGACAAATGTTACTTCTTACTGTGTGAATAATATGGATCCTTATATTTATAAACAAGTATGACAGTCACCACACATAAGAGTAGCTTAAATGGCCAAAGGGTGGAGAATGGGTCCTTTGACAGGATTCCCATATTAAACATCACCCACCCAGGACTCAGGGACCTTGCAGAAGAGGGGACAGAAATATTGTAAGAACCATGGGAGGAGGTGCATGACCATAAGGATACAGAGACTTTCAAGTGCCTGGTGTCTTGTGTATATTAACTTAGAGCAGTGGTAACAGCATGTACAAGATTCATGCAAACACAAGCAGACAAACTCCTAGCTTAGAACTGTGGAAAAGCACAGGAGTCTCCTATCTTAACTAAAGAACTACTGGGCAACTGATTACTACTGGATGAAGAGCTGATCCTTAAAGGAGGGACTCTAGATAGGCTGACTAGACCTCAGAGGATGGATATGTGTTTAAAGACATCAGAGGATACTAACTTGACTTGATAGGCCTAACATAAGTGACAGAATGTGTGAAATATAGTGGGGGTTACTATGGGAGAGTCCCAGTGGGGAAAGGGGTACAAAGATGATTAAGATATTATGTACGAGATACACAAAACTCCAATAATTAAAAAAAATCTTTAGGAGTTTATTGAATTATGATAAGGTGATACATATAGAATTCTTACAACTGTGCAAGGTAGGAACTGCAGAGACCTTATTAGGATTAACTGATGAAAAAAAGAGATGGCAGAGAGTTGCATTGGAATAAAACACAACAAGAAGGCAGATATCTGAAAACCAGAAAGAATTCCTTAGGTGAAACCAAGATGCATAAGCACCAACCTTGGGAATTGAGAGACAAAAATTTCAGTTGATTAAACCATTAGGAAGGTACCTATGCTAGTCATTATACTATCAGTACAATATTTTTTAGTTACAGCAGCCTGAGCTTTTTTATTTGTAGAGACAGGTTCTCTCTTTGGTGAACATACCATGTGTCCCGACCAGGTCATCATAGATCCACAATGATCATCAGTCCCTAGCCTCTGGAGTCCTAGGATCATTGGTTTGAGCCAACATGTCTGACTTAAACTGTATATAATTTTTGATGTTAAGAGTTGCTATCTATTTAAGATCCTCAAACTATGATTAAATCTTTATTTCATAAAAACACAATATATTTTCTATCACCCCTCACTATGACTTTCTTTGACGTGTAATTTACTGCCTGTGTGCTGTGGCAAATGCCTTCAATCTCAGCACTCAGGAAGAAAAGGCAAGTGAACCTCTGAGCAATGGAGAGATTGAGACATTGAGGCCTGCCTAGTCTACATCATGCACTGGGTGATACCTGGGGCTAAAGGAAAACCCTATCTCAGAAACCATCAACAAAAAAGTAATTTACTGATGGGAGTTTAATATTAATCATCTATCCAGAAAATAATTTATTGAATACAATGTCAATAATTTGTAGGACATTGTGAAAATCTAATCTTCCTACCAAAACTGTAACAAATACTTGTAAAAATACACATTTCTATAAAATGCAAGTTTTTTAAGTTTTAAGGCATATAACAAAATCATTTCAAATATGTAGTAAATTTATTCATATTCCAGTGAAAATTGTTTAAAAGGAAAAATATTTTCAAACATCGGAAATCATAATTCAGGTGTATAGAAATGTTTTATAGTTCTTAGAGTTATATTTTATTTATTTTATGACAAAAAGAAGAGGAACAATAAGTTGAAACTGAATTAGTCTGTGATTTTAATATCTCTTAGCTGTATAAATATATTCTTCATAAATTATTTCTTTCATAAGTTAATTATTACCTTGCATTTTATGTAATTTAAAAGTATTAGGTTAGATTTTATCAAGATGCTTTATACACTAACTTTGTAGCTTTGATGGCACTAACAAAATATTTCTGCTTGCTCTAGAATTAATGGAAATTAATAATAAGAAAACATGGGGTAAATTCTTTAAGCTTGTCAAAGCCATTAACCCATCTCTAGGAAGAATAGTAAATTCCATTAGCTAACAGATATACTATAAAGTATGGCATCGCTCAATACACAATTTTGTTTTGACTGAAATGTCATGAAAGGCTCTTTGCAAAAGTTGCTTACATAAATCTATGGTTAAGATTTTGTTTAGCAATTCCTATAGCTAGTAATGCTGTGTCAAATTTAGATATAGGGTAATAAGTATTGGGATCGATTGAAAAAATATAATAATGCATCATCAAATAAGAGGCTAACTGCACTATCCAGTTTGAAAATATGGACCACTGAGATTTACCAAAGGCAATAAAGGCTATAATTCTTTGTTTATCAAATCAATCTGAATCCTATCAACTAACAACTGTGGCTTTATTTTAGCCATGGCAGTTTTGTATTTGTTCTATTTCAAACTATACTGCAAATAAATTAAATCTCAATTTGCATTTGTATGTCTTCACTGCACTATCCAGTTTGAAAATATGGACCACTGAGATTTACCAAAGGCAATAAAGGCTATAATTCTTTGTTTATCAAATCAATCTGAATCCTATCAACTAACAACTGTGGCTTTATTTTAGCCATGGCAGTTTTGTATTTGTTCTATTTCAAACTATACTGCAAATAAATTAAATCTCAATTTGCATTTGTATGTCTTCAAATGATCTATACATGGTCATTTATTTTTCTCATTACAAGCATTTCAATATTTGATAGATTGAATGATCATCAGGTAATTCATTTCAAGAGTTGTTTGGGAAATTAAGCCTCTAGTGAGTATATTGATCATTTTATGTACACTTTAGCCACTTTATTTGTTTCAAAAATATGATTTTTGTATCTGGACTTAAGACATGTTCATCATTAGGTACCATTCTTTCTACTGGATTTCAATATAAAATATATGCAATTATCTGTGTTTTTAGTGTGTGGTGTTCTATTTTAAAACTGTCATCTTGTTCACTCTGGGAATTATTGGTGTTAATTTTGTTCACATTTGCTCAGACACTTACTTGTCAGTGTCTTTGAGAGATCAGAAGAAAAAAATTGTCTCTTTAAACACCAAAATGTTTAGAAAAGGAATTTGAATATTGAAATTGGACGAAGGTAAAAGAGATGCTGAATACAAGAGAGGGATATAGGGATTTTTTCCAAAGATGTCTTAGGCTAGGAAAATCTGTTTTGAATTAAAGAGTGACCTATGTTTCAAATAATATTTTGAGTCCAAGTGTATTCTGACACACCTGTGACTAAGAATTGGCTTCTTGGGTCCTAACCTAGAAGCACATTTTTTTTTGACCTGTTGTACTACACAAATGGAGCATAAGTTGAGGCATACATGTTAAAAATAGAGCAGGCATGCTTGCTTCAACAGTACATATACTAAAATTGGAATGGTACAGAGAAGATTAGCACGGACCTTGCACAAGGATGACATGCAAATTTGTGAAGTGTTCCAAAAATGCAATGAGCGGGGGGCTGGAAAGATGTCTCAGTGGTTAAGAGCACTTGCTGCTCTTCCAGAGGAACCAGGTTTGGTTCCCAGCACCCACATGACAACTAACAATCATCCATAACTCTAGTTCCAGGGGATCCTATGACCTCTTCTGACCTCTGTATGCATTGCACTTATTTATGTTCAGGCTAACCATCCATGCACATTAAAAAAAAAAAACTCTAAAAGAAATAAAGGTTATGGCATTTCAAATTATGGATGGCCTATTTTCAGACTAGCAAGAATAGGCCACAGTTTGTCTTCAAAGTTTGTTTGTGATTCTGTTCCTATAGACTCTCCTTGGGCCTTAGCCTTTTCCCCCTAAGGATGCCAGAGAGTGCTTGACTAGCCAGAATGAGTTTTCCAAATCCCACTGCCGACATGCTCCTATTTGGGGACCATCTCCATGTCCTGCCACTGGTCCAGAACCTAAGCATTCTCTGCTAGCTTTTAAGAAAAAGCCCACCCTGTTCCAACTGGATCTCCTTGAGACTTGGCCCTGTGCCTCTGAGGCAGCCAGAGAATGCCTGACTAGCTGGGGGAGATAGCCAGATCCCTCTGTGCCAGGTAACCATTCCATTGCTTTGAGAACAGCCTCAGTCTCTTGGTTTCAGGGCTCACACCTTTGCTTAGCTAGTTAGAATCGTCTATGGCGATGCCTAATACATTAGTTTGGGCCTATCACATCAGCTTCGATCTCCTGGAGGGCTCCTGACTAACCTACTTGGATCCATCAGATACTGCCAATAAAAAAAAATCAAAAGAGAGAATCTGCAGACCGGATCAATTAACTATTCATATGCGATCAGAAATAACCAAGGTGGTACATCAACAATATAAACAGAATGAAACTTTAACACAAGAAGCACAGGCTTGCATTCATATTAGAGACATAAGCCACAAAAGAAATCAACATGCCCAGAACACAATGAAAAATATAAATATTATACAAAAAATACACCAAAATAATAAGTCTCCACTAAACCCCACCAGTACTGTTAAAGTATTCTGAACTGAGAACTACCAAGAGGAACCCCAGAACACCACAGAATTTAAAAGAACAATCATCAACACTATCAAAGAAATCAATAAATTTAAATAATATTTAAATAATTCAATGAACACAAAGAAAATTAGAGGAAACCTCCTGACTGACGTTTAAGAAAATACAAATATATGAATGAATGAAATGACAAAGACAATTCAGGATTTGAAAAGTGAATTTATGAAAGACATAGAAATACTGAAGAAAATTCAGGCTGAAATGAAGGTGGAACTGAAAAACTCAATAGACCAATTTAAAATGACAGGAAAAAAGCCTCACCAATAGAATGAATGAAATGGAGACCAAAATATCAAGACTTGACAATAAAGGTGATGGATCGCACTGTTTAAGCAAAGAATATGGAAAATTTTGTGAAACATAGGAAAGGAGTATGGAGGAAATGTGGGACATCATGAAAAGACCAAATTTATGCACTGTAGACATAGAGGTAGGTGGAGAATCCCAGGTCAATGGATTATGGGAAAAAATATCTAATTTAAGGAAAAGCATAACCATACTGATACAAGAAGCACAGAGAACATCAATTAGATAGATAGGACCAGAACAGAAACTCTGCATAGCAGATCATAGTAAAAGTACAAAAGTACAAAACAAAGAGAGAATAATGAAATCTTCAAGATTAAAATAACAAGCTACATTTAAAGGAAAACCTATCAGAATTATAGCTGACTTTTCCAAGAAAACTATCAAAGTCAGACAAGTCTGCAGCAAAGAATTCCAAGTTATAAATGATTATAGATGCCAACCCAGAATACTTTACACAGAAAAGTTCTCTATCATTGTCAAAGGACAAAGAAAAGTCTTCTGTGACATGATTAGGCTGAAAGAATTCATGTTAAAAAAAATCAACCCTCCAGAGAACACTCAAAGAAATAAGAAGAATTCAAGAAAGGAGTGACCATAACCTAGACACTATAGAAAGAATACAAATGATGGTATAAGTATGGAAACACAAATTAGGACCAAGAACAAAAACATAATTTAAAATGACAGTAAGTAATACACATCTTCAATAATAACTTTAAATACCAATGGCCTCAAATCCCTATCAAAAGAAACACACTAGTTGAATAGGTTAAGAAACACAATTCATCTTATTTTTGTCTACAAGAAACTTATTTCCTTCAAAGATAGGCACCACCTTAGGACAAAAGAATGGAAGAAATTATTCCAAGTAATTGGAACTAAGAAACAAGAAGGCATTGCTATTCTAAAATCTGACAAAATAGACTTCCAATTAAAATTAAACAGAATAAAGAAGGTCACATCATTCTGATCAAGACAACAATTTACTAAGAAGTCACTGCAATCATCAACATGCATGTACCAAAGTCATGTGCACCCAATTTCATAAAGAGACTACTACATGAATTTAAAACACAGTTCAACTCCAACTCATTAGTAATGAGTGGCTTCAATATCCCAAAGTCTTCAATATTCAAGTCAGCTGGACAAAGAATAAATAAATAAACAGCTGAAATGATATAATACATAAAATGGACTGTACAAACCTCTACTAAACATTCCACCCAAGCACCTATGAATACACATTCTACTCAGAAGCACTTGGAAGTTTCTACAAAATTAACCCCAAACTCAGACATAAAGCAAACAACAAACACTGAAGACCTGAAATAGTTGCATACATTCTATCAAACCACATTACAGTAAAAGTTAAATCAATTGCAAAAGAAGCTCTTGGCAGTAAACAAACTGATGAAAATTAAACAACACACTCCTGAGTGATGAATGGTGCAGAGAAGAAATCAAAGAAGAAATAAAAATTATTCCTGAGGCTAAATGAAAATGACGACTCAATAAAATAATCTCTGTGACACATTAAAAGAAATCCTAAGAGGTCTTTAAAGCTCTGAGCACTTATATTTAAAGAAATTCAGAAAGAACAGAAATAAATGACTTAATAGTACAATCAAGAATCTTGAAACACAAGAACAAACCAAAACCAAATAAAGCAAATTAGAAGAAATAATAACAAATAGCAGAAAATATTGAAATAGAAACAAAAAAAATCAACAAATCTAAGAGCTGGGTTTTGGAAAAAATAAAATAGATAGACAGATCTTTAGCCCTCAACCCAAAGAAAGAAGAGCAAATCCAAATCAGCAAAATCAGACATGGTAAGGGAAACATCATAAGAGACAAAAAAAAAGATGTAGAACATATTAAAAGAATAAAAAATGGACTGATTTTTAATTTCAGAGAAAACATCAAAGTAAAATTAAGAAGAACAACAGCTTAAACAGACCCATAACAACAAATAAGTGATGCAAAACAGTAATACAAAGGTTCCTGAGTAAAAAAGAACAGGGGCCCAGATGTAATCACAGCAGACTTTTACCAGACTTTAAAAAGTACAGCAAATACTGCTTAATGTATTCAAAATGGATAGAAACAGAGGGGGAACTCCCAAACTCCCCCTATGGTACCAGTATCACTATAATACCCAAACCATTACAAGACAAACTATAGGCCTATATCCCTAATGAATATTGATACAAAATTTAACAAAATCGTTGCAAATCACATACAGATACACATCAGAAAAATCATCCACAATGACCAAGTAATCTTTATTCCAGAGATGCAGGGGTGGTTCAATAAATGTAATAAATCATATAAATGGACTTAGGAGAGACAAAATTGCCATGATCAACACAATAGACACAGAAAAAGCCTTTGAAAAAATCCAAAGTTCATTTAAGATAAAAGTCCTAGATGGAATTTCTTTGTTGGGAATACACTTCAACATAATTAAAGCTATATGCAACCAACTCCCAGTCAACATCATTCTAAATGTAGAAAAACTGGAAGCATTCCCATCAAACGCTGAAACCAGATGAGGCTGTCTGTTATCCCTGCTCCTTTTCATTACAGTGCTTGAAACTACCTAGAAGAATAAGACAAGAGAATTAAAGCAGTACTAATTGGAAGAGAAGAGGTCAATATTTTTATTTGCAGATGATATATTATATATACTATATCTCAAAAATTCTGCATGAAAACTTCTTGAAGTGATCAAGACTTTCAGCAAAGTACCAAGTTACAAATTTTATCTAAAAACCCAATAGCTTTCTATATAAAGGTAACAAGCATCAGAGAAATTCTTCAGGGAAACACTTCCATTCACAATAGCACCAAAAAATCAATCTAGAGATAAAACTAACCAAAGATATTAAAGATCTATTCAATGAAAATGTTAAATTGTTGAGGAAAGAGATTGAGGTACACACAGGAGATGCAAACACCTCCTGTGCTCATAGATTAGTAGAATCAATTCAGTGAAAATGGCCATCTACCAAAAGCAATTTATATAAGCAATGCAATCCCAATTAAAATCCCCGTGACATTTCTTCACAGAAATAGAAAAATCCAATCTATTTTTTTTTATGGAAGCCCAAAAGACCTTAGATAGCCAAAGCAATCCTGAGCACAAATGCAATACCCGGGGGTTACCACTCAATCTGTATTAAAGAGCTATAATCATAAAAAAGCATGGAATTCACACAAAATTGGACTTGTACATTGATGGAACAAAATAGAAGACCAAAACAAAGTTCTTGCCGTTTCAGCCACCTGATGTGTGACAAGGGTGCCAAGAACACACAGTGGAAGAAAGACAGCATCTTCAACAAATTGTGCTGACAAAATTGAATCCCCACATGTAGAAGAAATTTGACCCATACCTCTCACACTACACAAAAGTCAACTCCAAATGGATCAACTGCCTCAATGTGAAACCTGAAATGCTAAAACTATTAGTAGAACACATAGGTTGTACCCTATATGACATAGGTACAGGAAAGGATGTTTTTTCTAACATTTTATTTATTGTTTTTATTTTATGTGTATGAATGTACTGCCTGCATGTATTATTGCCAGCATGT